GTTCTGTTCTGTTCTGGTACCAGGGATTGAATTGAACTCGGGTCATTGTGCTTGCGAGGCAGGTGGCAGAACCACTGAGCTAAATCCCTAGCCCTGTAGATCACTTTTAATCCTAAAGCTTCTTAGGTTTCAACCACCATGTAATCTTCTTCTTAACTTCCCTAAATTAAAATGCCTATGGAGCCTTTTCTTGAAAGTAGTTTTGTAAAGTTAGATACATAAAATTCTGTTCTTAAGATTAGAATTTAAGACTGGAATCAGATGTCGCTTATTGTCTTTGGTGTCATCCTAGAGCAGGATTACAACGTGGAATAAAGCTTTCCAAAGAGGTTTCCTATTTTCATGTATCCTGAGTTGAGTTTGGTAATATTTAGTTGAAAACTTTTGTATCTATATCCTCCTCACCCCAACCCCTGGAGATTGAACTCAGGACCTTGAGCTTGCCAGACAGGTGTGGAGCCACTGAGGTAAATATCTGACCCATGTATCTATATTCTTGAGGAAAGTTGGTCATGCTGATTTCATAAAATGGGTTGAGAAAGTATTCTCTCTTCTGTTTTCTAGAACAGTTTGTGTAGAATTCATGTTTTTCTTTGTAATGTTTGTAGAATTCATCAGTAAAACCATCTGTGATCTGTGTCTAGTTTTCTTTGTCAAGCTTTAAGCTAGAAATTAAATTTCTTTTTTTTTCTTTTTTGTTGTTTTGGTGTTTTTGAGACAAGGTCTCACTGTGTAGCAGGCTGGCTGTTACTGAATGGGGTCTAGTTGTTTGGTAGTATTGTTCGGGTTTCTATATCTTCATCAGCTTTATACCTGTCATAATGATTTATAAGACAAAAATGTTGAAGTCTGTATATCATTTTGTAGAATCATTTTAATTCTCCCTTTAGTGCCTTTTAGTTCTCCCTTTAAGTCTCCTCCCTTTAATTCTCCCTTTAGTAAAACTCTCTTTTGTTTTTTTGGTACTGGGGACTGAACTTGGGTCCTTGTGCTTGTGAGGCAGGTGGTGGCACCACTGAACTAAATCCCTAGCTCAGTCCTATCAGTTTTTTGTTTGCTATATTTTGAAAATCTGTTGTCCCATATATATATGTTTTTAGGGGCTGGGGTTGAGATAGGATCTTGCTATGTAGTTGAGGCTGGCCTGGAACTCACTGTGTAGTCCAGGCTGGCCTCAAACATGAATTGAAGTGATCCTCCTGCCTCAGCTTCCTGAGTGCAGGGTTTTAGGCGTGCACCATTTGTCTGTTTTGTTTCTTAATAGCACTTTTCCTTGAGTGTGTGTGTATTCTTATGTGTGTACATGCAAGCTTGCTTGCTTGCTTATTGATTGATTGATTGATTGATTGATACCAGGCATTGAACTCGGGTCCTTGAGTTTGCAAGGCAGGCAGTGGCACCACTGAGTTCAATCTCCAGCCCCAGGCTTCTTAATTTTTGAGAAAATGCTGTCACAAGTCTGCCAGACACAGGCAGGTCTGTTGGGTTGAGTGAATTGTAGCAGGCGCTGAGCTGGTTTTGGGATGTGTTGCTGTGTTTGCCCCTGAGCTTTACTTCTTGGCCTAGAGTAGGGAGTGAGGAACTGGAAGGTTTTTCCTCGTTCTCACAGCACTGCAGATTTGGGTCTTGTATTTGTACTCTTCTCTTAGGAGAGTCTTCCTCTCTGTTGTTGCCTCTCTTTCTCAGAAGAATGTCAGCCTCGTGGTAGGCAGGGTTTTGTTTTGTTTCAGTCCATTCCTGCCGTTTTTGCTCAGTCCTGTGTACCAGCGAGGCAGGGTCTTTCTTCCTGCTGTACCCCTTAAAGTGGCAGGGTCTGCTGTCGGTGTGTGAGTGTAGAATCAGGGCCGGGACTCTTCTTGCTGCCAGCATCACAGGGCACTTTTCTACTCTCCCAGCTGCTGGGGTCTTCACCTGTGCCCTGATGGGGTTGGCACCCCTTTGCCTAGGGGAGAAAGGTCCATGGGGTAGGGCTGGCTTCATACGTTTCCTTGAGTGGTAGCTCTCTACGTGTGGACTACAATGTCTACAACACCTGGGGACCTGTGCTTTTCACCCTGCCTGCGACTTCTTTCTGTGTCCAGGGAAGACAGTTCTATAAGCGGGTGTGAACTCTTTGTTTCTGTTTGTTGAGGCTTGACGGTCTCAGGCTAGGCTTCACTTTTTTTTTTTTTCTTATTGAGTTTATTGGTACTTTTAAAGTACACAGTACAGTTACACTCATCATTGGGATCTTGTACCTTTAGATGATAGATCTTGGTTCTTATTTTCTCCCCATACCCCTGCCCTTCCTTCACCCCTCCACCCTCCCCTATTTACAAAGACTTTGTTTCCATTTTTTCCTTTTCTCATATTTTTTCTTGCCCCTTATTTCCTTTCCCCTACCCTTCCCACTTCCCCTATACCTTCAGCCCTTTTAGGCCTCATCTTTAAATCACTAGACGTATTAGTTGAATTCCTGTCACCTACTTGGACATTACCAGCATCTCTTTTACATGCTCTGACACAGGAGTGCCAGTGCCCATCTGTCTCCTAGAGGTTGGTTATTTGGATTTCGTCCTACTTGGTGGCCTGGACACCTGAGCTCTCTGGTGAATTCAAGTTATGACTTTGTGGTTCTGACCTTTTCCTCTTTGGGTGGGAGTGTGGTTGCTTCTGGATTTCTACAGCTTAAGAAGAAAAGGAAAACCTACTGGCTTTGCATATGCTTTATTTGGGAGGTGGTGTCCACAAATGATCAGTAAAAGTATTGAGTTTAAAATTTAATTATATCTATCTATCTATCTATCTATATATATATTCCAAGAAACCAATTGGAAAATAGGAATATCTACAAGTATTTTTATATAGTCCATATTAATATATAGTTTTTTCTTTGCCTAACCTAAAAATTAAAGAAACTTTAGGAAGAGAGTGAATAGTAAGATTGAACATCATAGTAACAGCAGTCATGGCTGGGACAAGCCTCCCAGCACCATTCTCTAGCCCCCGGTTAGGAAGCTGGCTGCTTTTCTTTTCCTGTTTTCCTTTAGCTCACGTTACTTCTGCCATCTGGGCCCAAGCCTAGGTGAATAAGCACAATGAAGTAGTAGCAATAGATTTCCTTGTACTTTACCTTAAATGACTTGATCCAGGTAGATTTAACTTGACCCAAGAGGAAAAAAGCTTGATTGTTTTTGCTTTACCCAGGGATTGATCTCGGCCTTGTGCATGGTAGGTGTCTACTGCTGAACTGTGTACCCTATTCTTGAAAGGAAAGTTTTCAGAAACTATTACATTTATAAAAATAATCTCCCTTGCTATTTTTAATACATAAGTAACTTGTAAGTACTTAAAAAATATATTAGATTTAGGAAGTCTATTCCAGAAATTTGTAATAGTGGTTAAGTTTACTCTGGGAAGGAGAACTAACTGACTGGGAAGTAGAGGTTGAGGGAGGAGATGTATTTATTTATTTTGGTACTGGGGATCAAACTCCGAACCTTGCACTTGCAAGGCAGGTAGTAGAACCACTGAGCTAAATCCCAGGCCCATGGAGAGACTTATTTTTGCTGTATATTCTTTTGGATCAATTAGATTTTGTACATATGCATTTTTTAGTCTGTTTAAAAAAATAATTCTGGTGTTAATAAGAATTAATATGAAGGGCTGGGGATTTAACTTAGTGGCACTGCACCTGCCTCACAAGCTCAAGGTAATGAGTTAGATCCCCGCTACCAAAAAAAAAAAAAAAAAAAAAAAGAATTAATAGAATTAATATGTAAATTGCTTATCCACCCCCCAGCTTCCCAAAGATTATTTGTAGAAAGCTTAGTTGAGAGTACAAGAGAGAAGAAGGTGGGAGGGAGCTGTTTGAAGATAAAAGGAGAAAGGAAAGGAGCTGCCTTATTTGACGTTGTAAGAATCTGTTGCAGTGAATTCCCAGTGAGTGATTTTTATAAATTATCACACTAATTTTTGTGTTTTGCTATACAATGTTGTAAAGTTGGTCTTTCTTTTAGTACTTCTTCAGAAATTATGGAAGGGCTCTAGACTTTATTGTTTTCATTATACATACCAATTTCAAGCTTGATTTTTGTATTTATTTATTTATTTATTTATTCATTCAGTCATTTAGGGCACCGGGGATTGAACTCCGGTCCTTGTGCTTGCAAGGCAGGCAGTGGAACCACTGAGCTAAATCCCTGGCTCTGATTCTTTTTTTTTTTTGGTTTTTTGAGACAGAGTCTCACTATGAGTTCAGACTGCTCTGGAACTCACCATGTAGCCCAGGCTGGTCTCGAACTCGCAGCAATCCTCCTGCCTCAGCCTCCCCAGTGCTGGGATTACAGGCATGCGCCACCACGCCTGGCTCCTCAGTTCTGATTTTTGTTTTTAAAGGAATTTTTTTTTCATTTGGTACCAGGGATTGAACTCAGGACCTTGCCCTGGTGAGGCGGGTGTGGCCCCACTAAGCTTAATCCCCAACCCTTCTATTTTTGTTCTTGGAATAAGTTCAGTAAGTGGTTGCTGGTGCTCTTGATATATAATTTTGTAGCAGTCACAGGCCAACCAATGAAAGTTTATTAACCATTTCCTGCATCCAGTGTTAGAAGCGCAGTTGAATTGGTTATACATAATAGAATTCTTTGGACAA